GCAGCCCATGAATTTGGACATGTCCAGAGTATAATCGCAGCCTTTGCGGTTAGAAAATTGCACTTGATCATGTCGCGATATTATCGCAAATGCGATATTATCGCAAATGCGATATATCGTTCAGCCCTACTTCATGTCAGGTTAAAAGAAGTCTGTAGATGTCTGTGATCACACTGTATTGCGGCATAAATCAGTACAAGGGTATGACACCTTTTCTAAAGCTTTGTGTGCCCCAGAAGCACAATACAAGCCATAATTGTGAATTGGAAGAAGGGAACATATGCACTTTTCATAAATTTCCAGGTAAATAACTAGACAACATGGGTTTTGGTCAGTGAGTTTAAAGAACATCCCACTGCTAAATTATACCAGCTTTTTTTGTGATGGTACCATACCAAAACAAGGCTATAAACTATACAGCTTAATGTTATTGTTGAATCCATGCTGTTATTGTGTGTAGGATCCTGGCCACTGTGGGGGCTGACTTTGATCTGAGAACATTGAGGGCGGTGAGAGTGCTGCGACCACTCAAACTTGTCTCCGGGATTCCAAGTAAGTCCACTTCACATTTTAATACATGTGCTGTCTGTGCTAATGGTCATGATGTGGTTAGCATGTTACAGCATTATAATAGGTTAACAAACAAACAACTACTATACTGCAAAAACATCTGTTCTGAAGATAAATTGCAAAATTTCACAGCTTTTTAATTTTAGTGGTGTATACCTTAAGCCAGTGTACTATACAGTGTATAGGAGTACTGTGCTACAGTGTATATGAGCATTTCTATACAGTATATTGAAGTACATCCATACAGTTTATAGGAGTGCACTTTTAGTGCCAAGAGCCGCACTCAAGAAAAACATCTGGCGTAAAAATAGGAGGGGGTCCACTTTCCCTCTTGGGGGAATACTCCTATAGGTTTTAAATCTGGGACTCTCCACCATTTGACCCTAGAACTTATGAATCTTCTCGGATGACAGGTGAAACGTCTTCCTTAGATTAACAAGTAAATATTTTTCCTTAGCACTACAGTTCCTCTGCATCTTTTGGACAGAGGCAAAATGACAAGGAGACTTGGTTGTAAAAGAAAAATTCAAAGGATATTGTAAATATCTAAGGAGCTTGGAAAGAAAAATGACTGGAGTTCTTTATGTTTCTCAAAGACTTTTCAATAGCAATCACGTGATCAACAGTGGGTCCACGACCCTCTTAAGGGACAACTTCCACTAGGGCTTGAATACCTGCGACTCTTCATCATTTGGTCTTAGAACTGAAGAAGCTTATCGGGTGAGAGGTGAAACGTCTTCAAGAAACTTAAAGAAGTCCAGTCACTTTTCTTTCCATGCTCCTTAGATTATCATGACTGAATGACTGAGAACATACACAGAATTACTGCAAATATATTTTGATAGCATTATGGTATGCTTGTATGTTACATTACATATGCAATCAATCTTGGCTATGGCTAATCTTACTTCTCTTGCTTTGCCTCAGGTCTTCAGGTGGTTTTAAAGTCCATCATGAAAGCTATGGTACCACTGTTGCAGATTGGCCTGCTGCTCTTCTTTGCCATCCTCATGTTTGCCATCATCGGCCTTGACTTCTACATGGGGAAATTTCATCGCACCTGTTTCCGGATTAACACAAGTGAGCAAATGTTATAGAACCTTAACCATTCCTATGTGTTTTTTAATGAAGATAAGGGGTTGAGTGACACATTTTGAATTCCCCCCATATAAACAAAAATATGATTGTAATAGAAATTATGCAGTGAAGCAAGCTCCAACAGGAGAACGAACAATTAATTGTAAAATATGTTCCCTGTGATGTGTGTGATATTCTTTTATATCATCAGTCAGACTTTCTCTTACATAAATTTAAAGAATAAAATCCAAATAATCACATTGTCCATCAGAATCTGTGAGCTGTCGGCTTTCAACCCCGACCGCGTGTCTGTGTACGTGCTGCCGGGTGAGAAAGCCAACATCTCACTGATTCTGATGTGTTTGTCCGTGCTTTGTGTTTATGTCTTTTTGCGGAATCCGTTTACCTGCTCTCGTTTGCTGTTTTAGCTGTTTGGTGGTTGTTGAAATTGTTTTGTGAGGTTTAGCCTGAGATTCTGGCGTTTCTGGTAAAACACATTTATATTTAAAAATTGATTCAGGATTTTAATGAATCGATATTGCTTTATTAAAGCTAAAATCGATTTTAATCAATAAATTGATTATTGAAACCCACCCCCTATATTTAAACCTTTTGTTTTCTTCTCCCCAGCCTCGCAATCTCCCTCATACCCAGCTGTGTGGTCCCCTGTGTGCCTCTTCGTTTAGAGTTATTCATGTCCCAGTATATTCTTTTCCTTGTGTCAGCAATAAAGCAGTTTTGGAGTTACTTTCCACGTCTTGGAGTCTGCATTTGGGTCCACATCCTGCATGCCACACAGCGCACTGTGACAATTTCTAAAAAAATACCTTAGTCTGTCAATGTGTGTCTTTGTGGTTACAGGTGAGCAGACTGCAGATTTCCCCTGTGGCTATGAAGCTCCAGCAAGGACCTGTGCCAACGGCACTGTCTGTAGGGAGTATTGGATTGGACCCAATTTTGGCATTACCAATTTTGACAACATCCTCTTCGCTGTTCTCACCGTTTTCCAGTGTATTACAATGGAGGGATGGGTGGATATCCTCTACAATGTGAGTCCAATTGTGGGGACATAAAAAAAGATCTTTGGCCATATATTTTGTTGGTTTACCTCAGGGCAGCAGTATCATAATTTTATTGTGTTAAAAAACATATGTACATGTGTATACAATACAGGGTATTATATCAGCGTCAGAATAGGCATTCACTGATTACTACACAGCACTAAAAAAAAAAGCCCACAATAAGTGTTACTTGAGAAAAAATGTTCCCATGCAATCTGGGGCTATAATTATATTTCACATAATTCTTACACGATAAAACACAGTGAGCTATGTTTTGTTTGGCAAACACTAAAAAAGCATCACATGCAGTATGATATATAGGTATAGAAATTGATAAGAATTTAGTGATTCTGATTCCATTATCGATATCATGTACTGACTGATTCCGTATCAGTTTTCTTGTCGATTCTCATTGGGTTCTGATTGGCTCCACTTTGAGAGTCACCAGTTTATTTAGAAGTAAAACATGAATATATCTAAAGTAATGTGACTTTGGTAGATCATGTTTTTCACAAAGGAATTTAAATGACAAAACCATCTTTATTAAAGAGATCGCTAAAATAAATCAGTCCTTTTTTATTCCAATCCATAAATGTCTGGGATGGCACAAAAAGATGATTAGATGTTACTGGAGAGAAATTAAATATCCAAATTAAAGTACTTTCCAAATTGGCGCCAAATCTTTATAAAATTTTGGACCACCAGGCACACCAATATTTAGCTGAAGAGGGGCAGTCAAAATTGAAATAGGTGAACTGTTGTTTTTGGTTCCATATTTACCCAGACAGGTCCCTCTTTATCTGCAAACCTGGTAATCCATTATGTTAACTTAAAAATATAAACTGCCCAACAATAGAATACACAATTAGGCAAACCTAATCCTCTCCAAACATGACTTCTTTATTCGTGCAGGTTTTTTATTCCATGTAAATAAAAGAAATATTGCAATCTAACTGGAAGAAAAATAGGAATCATTTTAAATAAATACAGAAACCTGGGCATTATAGTCATTTTTACTGTGTTTATCCATCCTGCTAAGGACAATAGCAATTTTGACCACCTATCCAGGTCATTTTTGGTTCCTCCTAAGTAGGGCAGGACAATATGCCCAAAAATATTTATCACGATATATATTTGATAATTTGAGATAATGATATAACTGACTATATAATTGACGCGAGACAATATACTTTACAACTCCACAACTTTATTAGTGCAAAAAAACTTCATCAATGTATTTTCACTTAAAGAACCAGCTGTTTTTTATGTGCCTTAAAGCTATATAAAAATGTAACAGTGAAAATGCAAATTCCTTGCTGACAGTTTAACCAAAAGGCATCTCCAGTGGAAATGGGCTGACATATCCTGAGCATAACCATGTATAATATCAACAATACTTAAAAGAGGTTATACACACACAAAGCTGTAATATTATGTTGAAGCACAATACGTATTACTCCGCGAAGCTCCCAACTACGGTAGACATAATGCTTTGACAATCCATCAAGCGGTGCGGCTTTGTAGCTTAGCAGCGTCGTACGAAAACATTTTTTGACAGATTTTTGAGTGCCGTGTACCAGATAAAATCGGTTCTGTAATAGCGCTAATAACAACGGCCAGCTTGCATGCTCTACCAAAAAATGTGCTTTGATGTGTATCTGACGGATGAAAGCCAAACCAGTTCCATACCACTGAAGTTGCACCATTTTTACAAACCAATTCTGGTTCATCTGTTTCATTCAACAATCTGCTTTCCCCCTTCTCATTCTCTGTCGCCGCCATGCTTTTTCCGCCATGTGCGTATGAAAACAAAGTCTTTTACCTAGTCTTTTACATATTCTATTGCGATATTTCATTTTCTTATCATTGCCTAACATTATACCGGTATTACCGTGAACTGTATGATATGGCCCAGCCTTACTCCTACAATAGACTTGTAATTGTATGGATGCATAGAGATGATTGAACCAGTTATTTCTAATCCCTGGGAGGTAAATTTATCCTTTTTCAATTTTAAAGGGCAAATTTCTATAGTTGATTTACCTTGCTAAATTATTTATTTTGAAACAGATAAAGAAGTAGGACATGCCACTAATTGGATCTAATATTAGCAGAAGTAGATCATCTGTATAAAGCAGAATTTTGTGGTTTACCTTGACCCTGGACAGTAGTCTTAATCCTACTGTCTGATCTAATAGCGATTGCCAATGGCTTGATTACAAACAGATAAGGAGCACAGCAACAGCCTTGCATTGTACTGATGCAGCCATAGGTACTGAGTATAAAACTGTAATCCAGCTATCAAATTTTGGCCCCAATCTAAAATGTTTTAGAAGTATAAATACGTAAGTCCATTCTATTTTGTGAATGCCTTTTCAGCATCAACACTTAGAACAACTTCAGACTGTGTTGCTGAGTGAGGGGAGGAACTGAACTACACTGAACAGGGTCCTTATCTTTTTTAAGTATGACTGAGATTATGGCCTGAATAAGTGTTTTTGACTACTTTCCGTTTTCCAGGGATTCATTATACACCGTAAAAAAAAAATCCTAAAAAAACCAGTAATTTCTGGGAAGTGGGGCGCTAAAATAATACCAGAAAATAACAGAAAATAACTTTTTCATGAAAATACAGTTATTTCCAATAATTACAATACAGTTTGTTGCCCTAATTTTACATGCGATTTTGCCCCTTTTCAAGTGCTTTTAAACATTAAATTAGGAACATTTTAATGTGATTAAACAATGAACTTACCTATAGACAAGGTCAATGAATGCGGCAATATGAATAATAATACTTAAATGTACAGAAATATACAGTTAACAGTTGGTTTAAATAATAATGGATTGCATTCATATAGCGCTTTTTGAGACCCTCAAAGCGCTTTACAATTCCACTTTATAATTCCCCTCTGACCATCACCAGTAGGTGGTAGGTGAAGTGTCTTGCCCAAGGAGACAACGACCGCGAGTGTCCGAGCCGGGGCTTGAACTGGCAACCTTCTGATTACAAGGCAAACTGCCAACTCTTGAGCCACAATCACCCTAAATAACAAGAATAATAATAATTATTTGATGTAAAAAAAAGTTTATAAGAATCATTTTATATATTTTTCTCCATAGCATTACATTTGAATTTAACAGTTCAATCTTTCAAATAATGGAATAATGAAATTATGATACATTCGTGAATGTATTTTAACAAACTAAATATGCATATGTACAGACAAATACATTTTAAAAACAAGAAAATTATGTTCACAGTCTATTTATGTAAATTTAATGATATTCCAGAAGAACAGTACAGAACTGTAAAATACACAGTAAAATACTTTTATATTACAATTGTTTCTACAGTGTAAACTGATTTCAAAACAGGTGCGAGCTTTAAGGGTATTCCCTGTAAAACTCGATGGGAAATCATTATGTGCCTGGTGCACTGCCTGTTCGAGATAGCTTAATAGGATTACTTATTTCCTCAAGTGACAGTGGCTACTTTAAGGATGACTGAGCCTCTAGAGAGATTTTTGAATATCCAGAGAGTTGAGAAATAGGTCTGTTTCTGATGCATTACCCTCTACTTCTGATTGGTATAGGTTAGAATAATATTGTTTAAACCAATCATTAATGTCGTGATAGTTGTATGATATTAAGCCAGGATCCATTTCACTTCCTGTAATCATTTGCCCGGCTGACTTTTTTTTTAAAACCGAAGAACAAGAAGCCTACCTGCTTTATCTCCATGTTCACAATAAATCTGTCTGGATTTTAGTATATATTTTTTTCACCTTCTCCATCATAAGAATATTTCGTTCCATTTGTAGTAATAATTTTTCGTTGAACAGATCTGGTGTGGGTGAACCTCATGTCACCTATGGACATCTCCCATGTTCCTCACCAGCGTTTTAACATCCTCAGAGTGTACTTTATTCTTATATATGTAACTGATAATTTGCTCCTAATGTAAACCTTCATAGACTCCCACAGAATGTCCCTCGGCAGCTCCTTGATTTCATTAGTTTTCAAGATGAAATGTTTTGAATTATTTACATAGAAGTAGCTGAGGTTCCACGTTATCTGTAAAAATAAAATGGAATAAGTGGAAGTAGTTCCACGTGTGTGTGTGTGTGTGTGTGTGTGTGTGTGTGTGTGTGTGTGTGTGTGTGTGTGTGTGTGTGTGTGTGTCATTATTCATTGCAGGTTGGATATTGAATAAGTTACTGCTACTAATATAATACAAATACCTTTATTGATGGATAATGTATCTATCAACTTTAAACTGAAAAAGATTAGATTTGTCACGGCGAGTTGAGTGAGCCGTGTGGAAGAAAGAAAAGGAGGATCCAAATGCAGGCACTTGTAAAGGTGTGAGGGTGGTTTATTCAACACAAAATAAAAATAGGCAAACGGCAAAAGGAACAGAAGGCTATCTAAACTGAAAACAACTAAACTAGTGAACACAAACCAGGACATGAACATGAAGGAGGATACACAGCGGAGAATGACGACGGATGACAGCAGGGATAACACACAGAAGGAGCACGGTGGATACACAGACGGACCAGCAACTACAATAACAGAGGACGCGACTTAAATACACACAGAGAAACACAGGGCGATTACACACAGGTGGTGGAGTAATTAACGGGATGAGACAAAAGGTAAAACTAAACACATTCTCAAGAGACGCAGACCTTCACAATAAAACAGGAAACAAGACCTCACTACACAAAGACGCCGACTTGACACTGAGAGACAGACTGAATATAACACATGGAACCTAAATGCTAAACATGACACACAAATCCTGAAACACAAATAAACAGAAACATGGAACTCTAACAATAACAATCATCGTAGCCTCAGAGAACAAAACAATCATTCAAAAATAAACCAAAACATAATAATGGATTGGATTTATATAGCGCTTTTCAAGGCACCCAAAGCGCTTTACAATACCACTATTCATTCACTCTCACATTCATACA